TAATAATAATATTATTATTATTATTATTATTATTGTTGTTGTTGTTATTATTATTATTATTATTATTATGGATGTTGTTTTTAAACCCGAGAAGAAAAGATTTGTTGGATTCATGAATATAATTATTATGGTTTGATGATTTGTGGATTTGTGTGGTTCTCAAATTATTATTATTATTATTATTATTATTATTATTATTATTATTATTACTAGTAATTCACCCGCGCGATGCACGAGAAAAATTTATGTTATTATAAATATAAATAAAAAATAAAAAAACTAAAATATTTTAAATTATTTAATATAATAATATTTTTGAGCTTCCATTGGTCAAGTATTTATTATTTTTATAGAATACAAAATTACAATTAAAATTATAATTATAATTTTGTATGGTGAATATAATCTCTAATTATGTGCATATTCAAATAAACTTATAGAGAGAATTTATATAATTACATTGATTTATTCTTAATTGTATTTCATCTATATTATAATTTTTCACAATACGAATAATAACTAAGATAATTACATTTGAAAAGCAAATTTTAAATTTTGTATGTGTAAATTTAAACTCTAATTGAACACATTTTTTATATGATTATATAATATATAGCTATTTTATTTTTCAAAAGTATATTTTTTATATGATTATATAATATATAGCTATTTTATTTTTTAAATGTTGTGTTATTTTTTTATATGATTATGTTTTATTTTTTTTTTTTTTATAATAAAGGATGTTGTGGCATTAATTGTAACATTAATTATTTCCCAAACCATATAGCTTTATTATATAAAGGATTATTATTATTATTGTTGTTGTTGTTGTTGTTATTATTATTATTATTATTATTTTGTTGTCTATTGTTGTGAGGATCAGGGTCAGTCCTATAGTTTGACAGTAGGCAGTATTTTCTCGTGTTTCTTAAATCAGGGTTTGGTGAGAATGCATTCTTAGGTAACTACTAAACACATTTGAAATTTTTTGTTTACAGTAATTCTAATTCTAATTAGAATAAACAGTAAAACAAAATACCAAGAATTGATTTAGGATTTTTGCAGATTGCAGTAAACAATAAACAAATCCTAATTGAAATAAAAAATTCCTAATTGATTGCAGTAAACAATAAACAACTCTAATTACAGTAAACAAAATACCAACAATCCTAATTCTAATTACAATAAAAAATAAACAAATCCTAATTGATTTCAGTAAATTAAACAATAAATAAATCTAATTACAGTAAACAGAATACCAACAATCCTAATTTTAATTGCAGTAAAAAAAAATAAACAACTCGTAATTGAAATGAAAAAATCATAATTAATTGCAGTAAACAATAAATGAATCTAATTGCAATAAACAGTAAAACAAAATACCAACAATCCTAAATCCTAATTCTAATTACAGTAAACTATAAAGAAATCCTAAATTTCCAATTCATTGCATACTAAGCACTTAGACAGTAAAACTTGAAATCAAAAAATACCTTTGTTTTCTTTCTTTCAAAAAAATACCTTTGTAATTAGGGGGTGATTAGGCGAAGGTGGATTGTGGAAGGCGTGGTGGACTGGTGGTAAATGGTAATACCAGATAGGGCCGGTGAGGCGGTAAGTGAAATTGATTCGCCGGTGAGTGTAATTCATTATCGTCAATGGTGAAGCCGTGAAGGATGGATAAGTGGATTTGCAGATAGATTGCTGTTTCTTCTAAGTTCTAACTTCTGAGCTTTTATTGATGGATTTGATGTCTCCCTTTTTACTGTTGAGACTTGAGAAGGTCTAGCAACAAGTTGGTGACGCTTGGGGTGGCCGGTAGGTCTGAGAGAGTTTGCGTCTCCACACTCCAGTCTCCTCATATTCTTAGACTGGCTCGTAAAGTCGCAAAGACGCGACCAACGGCTAATATATATATATATATATATATATATATATATATATATATATGTTATACTGTATAGCTACGGACTATGGGCCCCTAGGTAGAGGTGGGCCCTGGGCAAGGACTCATCCTGCACTTGCCCAGGGCCGGGCCTGGTGTGGATCCTATTAGTCATCAAAGTCAGTTGTTATATTATAGACCGCGGTGCATAATCGATTACGCACCGCGGCCCATATACGGCGCCGTTTCTTTAAGTAAAGAAACGGCCCGCCGTTAGAGTTAACGGAGTCCGTTTGTTTGGTGTATTAAACACCAAATGATACTACAGTATATCCAAACCGACATTGCAGTTATATCAAAATGATACTGTAGTTATAATGAAATGAAACTGCAGTGTATATAAACTGAAACTGAATAACATTTCACATATTTGAGTGTATATTGTACAATGAAGCTGTAATTATATCAAAATGATCATGTAGTTGTGTTTTAATAAAACTATAGTGTATATAAAATAAAATTAAATAACATTTTCACATATTTGAGTCTATAAATATCGAATGAAACTATAGTTATATCGAAATGAAACTGTAGTTGTGTTCAACTGAAACTACAGTGTATACAAAATGACACTGAATAACAGAGTTACTTTTTGCAAAAGGGTGCGAAACGGCGGAAATAAACACTGTTAATTTTCATTTAAAAAAAAAAAGACGCGCGGTGCATAATCGATTATGCACCGCGGTGCATAATATAATTTGCCCATCAAAGTGGCCTGGCTAAGTAACAATTAAATTAAAATAAATTAAATTTTGCTTATTTAAATTGTATTTTAATCCATTAAGGATTATGAGAGTAACCAAAGTGATCATGTTATATAATATTTGGACTAAGTGAATGTGTATACGCAATAAAATTCTATTGATTCTATTACATTGTAGTATCTGTTCAAACATTTTTACATTTTTAGTTTTCCAGTGCACATTTTCCCTTCTTACAAAGCACGTTGTTGTGTCGTATGGTGTACATTGTTGTGCAATATAGTTTACATTGTTGTTATATATATATATATATATATATATATATATATATATATATATATATATATATATATAGGATGCGCATTAAATGCGCAAGAGGTCTTTAGGAAAAAAATAGGGTTAAGTCTCAACCATAGATATAGTCCAAATCAACAACCTAGATTGAAGATAAAAAAATAAAAAAAAAAATAAAAAAAAAGCGCGCGGTGGCATTATTGTAATTTTGAGCAAATAAGTTAGCTTGTCTTTTGTATCCGAGTGCGTATTTGTCCTTCTTCGAGTGTACATTTTCCCTTCTTCATGTGCATATTTTGTCTTCTTCGAGTGCATCACTTTTATTTCAGTACTTAGTTTCTATTTTGAGTGCACATCTTTGTACCTTTAAGTGCAAATCTTTTGGCCTTCAAGTGCACATTTTGTAGCCTTCAAGTGCATGTTTTCCTTTCTAAGAGTGCATAATTAATTTCATTTGAAATTTTCCTTTTACTGTTCCTTTTTTTTCTCTCTCTCTCTTGCCTTCTAGTGATCCTTTTTATGCACCTCGAAATCGACCTCCGATCCGACGATGATACCTCTCACTCCCGAACAAATTCGGACCATCGGTCGTGCGAACGCGACAGAGACCGGGGAAAGGGGAGAACCATCGACCTCTCGGCCGCCGAACATACAGCTGCGCAATCAGCAATTACCCTAGAGATCGGACGGAGGCAGGCGAGAAGACCGAAGAGCGGAAGACCCGCCGACGCGGTCGGTCCATTCAAGGCTAGACCCGAACGTAACGCGTTGGTCGGCAAGAGAACGGCTGGGAGGAGGAGAACCCATTCGCGTACGGGCGGGCCAACAAAATCGAGAGGCCGTTCGAGAAAGAACTCATACCAGAAGAACTCGGACTCGGGCACGACAGACCGAGGGGCCCACTCGCAACGAGGAACGGCAGGCTGAGTCGCAAGTCGGGGAGAGTACCGAGTCCACGGGGAATCACACCCGGAATGCCAGAGACGTGGCTCACCTGGCTCGTGAGTTACGCCATTTGAAGGAACAGGTAGAAGGCAAAGCCAAGTCCCTAGGTCGGACACTGCTCACCGCCTTGCCCTTCTCGACCGAGAACATGACGTACAAAAATACCCGGCGACTTTAAGTTCCCCGAGCAAGCTACTTTCGACGGATCTGGCGAACCGCGCGAGTATCTCCTGAGCTATCAGGCGAAGATGCAAGTCTTGGGAGTCAAAGATCATGTCATGTGTCGCGCTTTCCTACCGACGCTGAAGGGGTCGGCACAAAGATGGCTCGTGGCCTTGCCTACAGGCTCGATCCGCAGCTTCGAAGAGTTGGGCGACCGCTTCATGAGCCACTATGCTGCCAACATCAAAATCCAAAGGGATCTGACGCACCTTGGGGACATTCACCAGGAATAGGGTGAATCCCTCAAAACATACCTAGCCCGATGGCAAAAAGAAATTCAATCCATCGAAGAGGTGGAAGATCAAACGACACTTACCTTCTTTATTGAGTCGCTTCGGTCTGGCCAGCTATATCGAGACCTGCGGGACAACCGGCCGGCTACCTATGCAGAAGCCATTCACATGGCCAACAAGCGAGCCAATACAGAGCAAGCAATGAAGTACAAACGACAACATGAGGTCAGAGGAGCCTCCGACGGAAAGCGAACTAGAGCAGAGGTAAAAGAAAGACGTCCGGACCCATCCAGGTGACAAGAGACTCAGCGTGTGTACGACAGAATTGGTGTTCAGCCTTATCAACCGACCCCTCCACATCCAGTACATGAAGTGCAGGCGGTTGCTGCGCCTCCGCCTCTTCCACCCGAGGAGCATGCGGCAAATGTAGGAGATCCAAGTATTGTTTTTATCATAAGTCATACACTCACAACACAGAGGAGTGTTATTATATGAAAAAAGATCATGGAAGGAATCATTCAGCAAGGGACGCCGCCTCCCAACTAATGGTGAAGGAGATCCACGTCTCACGCCAAGGAAGACGATGACCCTTCAGAGGCGACCGGGGTGAACTACAGCAAGCAGCCGGTGTCCGAAGAGGACGAGGCCTAGTGGAAACAGATGCCGGTCATCAACATGATAGTCGGCGGACCTGAAGGAGGCGATTCCGCCAATACTAGAAAAGCCTGGGCTCGGCAACTGTACGTGGGGACCATATACTGGCGTGAAGGCGGCTCGAAGAAAGCGTGCCGAGAACCTATCGTTTTCACGGATAAGGATCTGCCGACTAGCGAGGTGGCACATCGCGACACCCTAGTCACCGCGGTGGATGTAGGCGGGGTTGTCGTTCGATGGATCCTGGTAGACAATGGAAGCAGTGTTAATGTTCTGTATCTCGAAACCTTCACCAAGATGGGTTTAGAACAAGAGCAGTTGGCCCCCGTGAAGACACCACTAGCCGGCTTTACAGGGGACTCTGTAGAGGCCGAAGGATCCATCACTCTGCCAATCGAGATTGGCAGCTACCCTAGCGTGCAAAAGTTGGATATGAAATTTATTGTGGTCGACTTGGCATGCTCTCACAACGCAATCCTCGGCCGACCAGGTCTGGAGGACTTACGGGCGCTGATCTCCATCGAGCACCTGTGTATGAAATTTCATACACTGAATGGGGTGGGCACGGTACGTTGCGATCGAAGGGTCGCCCGCGACTATTATTTACAAGCCTGCCGAGGCATGGGCAAGCGAGAAATGCAAGTTCACGAGATCACTGAACGGCCCCCAAAGAAGGCAATGCCGCCTCGCCCGAGCCAGCCGTGGAACTAGAGGAGGTAGAGATCTATCCAGCCCGACCAAAAAGACGGGTAAGAGTTGGAGTCGGCCTCAAAGAGGATGTGCGGAAAGAAGTCATACGAGTGCTCCGAGAAAACCGTCTGGTTTCGCCTGGGGACCCGAAGACATGCCCGGAGTGGACCGCTCCATAATCTCCCACCGACTCGCGGTTGATCCCGGCCACCAGCCCGTGATCCAGAAGAAGCGATACTTGGCCAATGATCGAAGAGAGTTTGTCAAAAAGGAAGTAAATACGCTGCTGGCTGCCGACCATATCCGAGAGGTCAAGTATCCGGAATGGTTGGCCAACGTGGTGGTTGTACCGAAACCACCGGCCTAGAGGATGTGCGTAGACTACACCGATCTTAATAAGGCCTGCCCAAAGGACCCTTTTCCTTTGCCTAGGATCGACCAGTTAGTCAACGAAACCGCCGGGTCGGCGTTGTTGAGCTTCATGGATGCCTTCAGAGGTTACCACCGGATTCATATGCACATGGCTGACGAGGAGAAAACAGCCTTCTTTACCCTGGATGGCGTATACTGTTATAAAGTCATGTCGTTTGGACTCAAGAATGCAAGAGCCACATATACTCGGATGGTTGCTCGGCTGTTCCCGAACCTCAGTCGTTGTCTGCAAATCGGAAGAAGTAGCACTAGAATGATGCCTCCGGGAAGAGGGCCGGTGAGCCTTCTTCTTGCTTTTTTCCAGCCTCGACCGTTTGGAAGAAAGGGGGCGAGGTGGCGACCCAAAGTCGATCTTTTTCCCTTTTAAGGGAGAGCGACCCATATTGATAGAGGAAGTGAGGAAGAAACCCAAGGACTTTAACGCCATTTATAAGTTTCAGAAGAGGAGGGGAGAATCAGAACGGACCCGGTGAATCAGGCAGATCGCGCGAGATCCGGGCGTTACTCAGTCATTAAAAGGAGAAGATTGGAAGAGATTTCCGGAATTGACAGAGGGGATGCGTTTACTTTCCAACATCCGAGTTAGAAGACTGAATATTGGAAAGTGAGGGACTAGTTGATGGGGTGTGGACCCCGGCCCAAAAAGATTGGTAAAGAGAAGAAGCCCAAGGAAGGAAGTAGTGAGAAAAGGCCCAAGGGAGTAAGAAGAAGCCCGCGGAAGACAGCGGAGGCCCAAAAGAAGGAAAGCCCGGGAGAGGTCTGGACCGAGTCGCGGAGTCGGCCCGACTCCGAGGTCGGAACGGGGACTCGGTCGGCGCAAGGAACAAAAAGCCGTTGGAAGCATTTAAGAGGGCATTGAAGAGCCCAGTCAAAGAGCCGTTGGGAGGCCTAGTAACGGCAGCCCAACGGCCCCTAGAAATAACTAGTAATCAACCGGCCATTGAAGGCCTTAAATGTATATTATAAAGTCCAAATTAAGGAGGGCCTACTATAAAAGGCCCCCCTCCGAGGTTGTAAAAGGGACCGAGTCCAGGCCGAGAGAATAGAAATTACACTGACTAAAGATTATTCATTCCCTTCTATTCTTGAACGGTGAATCCATCAACTAAGGTTGTGTTGGACCTCCCAGGGCCCAAAAACCCTAAAACCAACAGTAAATAATTACAAGTTATAGTTCAAATTATATTTCGCAATTCCAAGTAGTAAATTTTAATTATCGTATTTGAAAACTATAGGGATGAACAAAATTTATATTTTGTTTATTAATAATGTAAACCATTTTGATATAATTTATACTTTATTTTTACAATAAATAAATAAAATATCTATAATACTAATCTAGTACCCGGTCACATATATTGGTGCGTGTGCGTGCCTATATATCACTGTTGGAAATTATGGAATTTCCGACCACATGAAAGTGATCTTATATCAAGTCGAAAGCAAAAAGTGGTCGGAAATAGCAACAAATGTTTTTTCGGATACCAAAAGTGCTCGGACAAGGCTTTCCACTTGATTTAAGATCATTTTCAGGTGGTCGAAAATTCCATAATTTCCAGAAGTGATATACACACACATATATCGCAAATTATGTTGTGGAAACGTGTTCACCATGCTTGGTGAACACGGTCCCAAACGACATCATTTTTACCAGAAAAAAAATAGTTATTGTGTTGTTAACGGCGTTTTGCATTCTATGTTCAGATTATGAATTTACATTTATTAAATTATGAATTTTCTGTTATGTGATTATGAATTTACAGTTATGTAATTATGAATTTTCAGAAAATTCATAATCTCATAACAGAAAATTCATAATCTTATATCAGAAAATTCATAATCTCATAACAGAAAATTCATAATCTCATAAAAGAAAATTCATAATTTCATAACTGCACATTCATAAATCCATGCCTGTACATTCATAATTTATGAGTGTTGAAGAAACTTGCGCGAAGAGGAAGTGAAACCGCAAAATGTGAATATGAAGAAGAAAAGTCGCGCTATTAAATAATAATAATAATAATAATAATAATAATAATAATAATAATAATAATAAAGATTGGTGGAAGATAACGGTGCCCGTAGGCACCGTTACTGTTACCGTTTGGGACCTTAGCTTGTTCACCATCCATGGTGAACACGGTTTCATGGCATAACGATTGCACATATATGATTTACCATTCATACAAATTTAATTAAAATATAATCAACGATTAAAGTAATTATATAATGATTTTAATAAAATGATAATTAAAGAATAGGAAAAAGATATCGTACGTAGATATATGTGTATAATAATAATGATAGAGTTATGAAAGTTAGAGTTAAATAGTAACAGTGTTATAACGGTGTAAGGGTACTTTTGTCTAACAAGAATATAGTAGGGAAAATTTTGTCCATTTTAATTGAAGTGCACAACATTTAACGAAAAATGTATACCTTTATTAGCATACAAATGTAAGTATTGACACAAATGTGTTTATAGTTTAATGTGTAAAGCTTTTGCTTTTTAACTTGATGTTAGGGGTTCAGGCCTCATATTGGACATTTAAAAAAAAAAAACGGTTGATTTCGTTACATTATATAAAAAAAGATCATTTTTTTTGGGTTTTAACCGAATCGAATCAATCAGTTTCTTTAAATCGAGTACTTATCGGTACTTCGGTTCGATTTGGGTAATCCGAACCGAAATGCCCAGTCCTAACTCCACCAACTCCAATTGAACAAGTTTACAATCATTCTTAAAATTTTATCAATGCATGAATACTTTAAAAATTTATAAGTTAATTTTTACTATATCATTATAAGAATATGTATTGTAACCATATATTTCAAATTATTTATTATCACACCCCACACCACACTTCTAAAGTGTGGAAAAAGGGGATCATGTTTCACCCACCCACTCATTTTCTACCCCCGTGTCCACGTGATTGAACACCGAGGACGGTGTTCGTTCTAAAGTATGGAAATGACGCACTTCGTGCTTGATTTGTCTCGACTCTTAAGTGGTGATTGATTGAGGTTTGCATATGGTTGAAATGTATGTCATTGTTTATATTATTTTTGAAATGTGCTCAAATGATGTGTGACATATTGAACTCTTGAGACGATGCTTTTGAAAATTGCCTCTTTACACCTTGTGAGCTTGCATAGAGACCAAATAGAGTTATTTTCTTGTTTGCTGTTGAGCCATTGAATCACCGTGATTTACATTCTTCCAAATGCTCTGTTGGGCCAGGATTCGGTATTCAACCTTTTAATTTGGAGAAGAAGAAACTGAATACTATTATAAAAAGTAATGAAAATTAAGTGGTGCAGTGAACAATTTTTGACACGATATAAAAATTGCATAACTTCCGACAAGCATACGAAACACACAACATGTTAATACATATAAATGTAACAACCAAATCCAAACAACATGAGAGGATCGGAGCTTGCTTGCAACCAAAGCAGAAAAGAAAAACTCCACCATGCATGCATGTTTGGATTATATTATTTCTGACCTTTATTTATTAATTAGCTATTTATATATATATATATATATATATATATATATATATATATATATATATATATATATAAAAGAGTGAAGTTGAAGGAAGCTAAGCAATATTATATTAGATAAGGTAGTTAGCAACTACCCGTGATGCAGGTGCACATGAAATGGATGCAGATCCCTTTGGCAAACCCATCAGACTTGCAAACTTCATTGCATTTGGGATTCAGTGGAAGACATAACTCCTCCAACTTCAAGTTCTTCCTCAAGCATTTTATAAGACTCGCAGCAGCCCCCATTATTCCCATCTCTGCACAATTAGATCGAATTAACACTCACATCGAATTAACAACAAGTTCTTCCTCAATCATTTTTTTTTTTTTTTTTTTTTTGAGTGCTACTAACTCTTACAATTCAGCATATGTTCATAATCACACTGCCCACATGACCACCCATATGAGAGAGGTCCACTTCGTGCCACTAGGCCACAAGATCATTGGCAAGAATTAAAGCATCATCAGAGCATGTATGACCATGAGCGATCTGAGGCCTGGACTTGGATTATAATTGAACTGAATAGGGTGGAAAATACTTTATTCACGATTAACATTATATTTTCAGTATAAGTTTTTGCCATAAACATAACATCTTTATTTTTTCAGACTAAAAAAAAGCCACATAATGATAGATCGATACGAAATAATTCAATTCATCACATACATAGCATGTTAAAAAGAAGAAATATATAATGGAGAAAGCTAAGGGAGAGAGCAAACCAGAGGCTATGAGGAGCATCACCAAGAGCGAGGCAGTTGCAAACGAACAAACAGAAGAAGAAAAAGCCATCTTTGTTAATTGAGAACAAAACAAGGTTTTAGCTTAGGGGAAATGGGAATGCTGTCACTGTTTCAATGACTGAAGTCCTTTTATAAGTCACAATTTGAGACGGGACCATGCTGTCATCACTTATACCTCACATCCTTCATCAATACATGCGTACAAAAAAATTAGAGTAAAAGACATTTTTGGTCCTAGACTTATAGTGGCACGGACAATTTTAGTCCTCCTTAAAAAAATCAGAAAA